CCCCTTCCTTATCCCTCCATTCTCATGTGTATGTGGATATATTCCATCTTTGTCCTCAGCAGCCCCTTCTCCTCCATTATGCCCGGTTTCTACTTTTGGGACTCAACAGAGGGATCAGATGGGTATTCCCGGTGCTCGGAGCATCTTCATCTGGCGATGTTCACCTTGCAGCTGTATCCACAAAACAGACTTCAAACCCCTTAACTCTAAATGCCCGAACCCCCGATTTTACACAAGCGAGAATTTGTTGTTCAGACGTAGCTTCAACCCAGATCCACGTCGAGTGACCTTCGATAGATGCTGAAGCAGTCGGTCGATCTTGTCGTCCACGTTATTCATCCTCGCCTGCACCGCTGGCATGTCGGCGCTTGAACACCTAAACGGTTAAGGGTGAAGGGCTGAGGGGCCTCACAGACTATGAATCCCCGAAGCGCAACGCTGTTGAACCGAAGAAGTGTCCCTGCTCCCGAAGCCGATAAACTTCAAATCGCCAGCAAGCAAACAGAAAGGACGGTCCTTCAGCTCCTCTTCGATCACTCGCATCTTGTCCTCTGCCACACGGATACCGAGTTTCAGACCGCAGGTCCAGCTTGAAAAGAAGACAGGCCCCAAACTCTGAATCCTGCAACCCAAACCCGAAACCCCAAACCCTAAAAGCCCTGTTTACCTTCCGAAAGTTCCACCATGATTCTCGCAGATTCTCAGCCGCAACCCTGGAAGCTTCAGAAGGAAAATGCAAGACTCCAAAGACGGTCCTTCTGCTCCTCGTGCTGCTCCTTCATCTTCGATTCCAGATTTTGCATCTTGTCCTCTTCCACACTGGAAGAGATTCCGCTCAAGAACTCGCGGCGGATTTCGAGTGTCCGGTCTGGGGTTCAGGCATCATCTAGCAAAGCACTCCAGAGCTGAGGCAGTTGAGGGGCTTGGCGTGGCATCGGGAATTTGGGGGTGCAGTGACCCGTGTTTTAGGGTTTAGGGCTCTCGCAAAGCTCTACTACTCACACCAGCCACCAGTGAATACAGCGTATCGCCCTCATGGGACTAAGGGCCTCATGCTCAAAGTCGATCCTCCGAGGCCTCCCGAAACCCTAAACCCTAAACCCTAAGCCCTAGGCTCTAAACTAAACCCTAAACCCTCTTCCCAAAGAAGCCCCAAGCAAGCCCTGACGACACCCGAGTTTGAGAGTTCGTAGGAATCCTGTAAGATCCACACCCAGGCATACGGTACGGACACGATTCAAGGCAGGCGACCAGGAATGCAGACTCTGTCATGCATCGACATTGTTGCACAAGATTCCGTGTCCAGTATGATTTGCGACATCATACTTACTGCAAGATACTGACCCAAGACATGCCCGAAGCCCTCCTTTTTCCGGGCCGAGAAGCAACCACCACAAACTATCTTCTATCACAATCACAACAATCTTGCTGAGGTCCTTTAGGTCACTTCGCATGCTTCGAAAATCGTCCGAAGCAGCTTCCTTCCAGGCCGATGGGAACGGAAGGATTAGAGAAGATGACGCTCTGTGGTTCTAGAGGCTTCCTAGCCGTTTCGGCTCCGACTTTGAGCTTAACTACGTAAGGGTTCTGCCGTTGTTGTTTAACGCTTTACGCATTTGTTGGCGTATGAACCCCAAAACATCCTGAACACCTGATACCAACCCGAAACTCAGAGCGAAAGTCCGATCGAATCACTGCATGGAGCCTTTTGAGATTCTCGCTTGAACGACCGGGCTTCGCGTTTAGGGTTTGGGCTTTTAGGGTTTGGGGTTTGGGTTAAGGGTTTAGGGTTCACGGTTTGGGCTAAGGGTGTAGGACTTGGGGTTTGGGGTTTCAGGTAACTGGGGATTTAGGGTCAAGGATGTAGAGACTCAGGAACCGATGTCAAATGGTGTTTGCGGTTCGGGGAGACGCAGCACCGCCTAAAATTGGAACTCGCGATGTGTCTGAATGTAGAGCTTTGGGATAAGGCTTCGGATCGTTGTCACGGCTCAGAGGTTATATGGCTTAGGGTTTAGGGTTTAGGGCTTAGGGCTTTGGGTTTAGGGTTTAGGGTTCAGAGGTTATATGGCTGAGCCCTAAATCCCCGATAATTGCGGTGTAGGGTCCGTCCGGACCAGCGCAAAAATCTCACACTCCTCGGCAAAGCGATCACCAAAGAGGCCGAATAGGCTGAGGTTGAGCGTGTAGCGAATGCCTTCAAGGGTTTAGGGCTTAGGGCCTTTAGGGTTTAGGGTTTAGGGTTTAGGCTCTCAATGAGTTCTACAAATATGTTGCAAGGTGCGTTTTTATGGGTTTTACACGGCTTAACGGTTTATGGATTTGGGGTGTCCGGTTGTTCCATCCTGCAGAAAACAGGGACGCTGACGTTTCTGAATTCTGAAACTCTCGGCCGTTCCGACAGCCGGGGCCTGTGAGTCGAAAACCCACGGCTGGCAGCACCAGGATGATGAGCGTAAAAGCCAGCAGGCTCACCAGAGACCCGGCCAACAGCACCACACACGCTACCTCTTCTCTTCCATAACCAAAAGAAAAACTCAAGCTGTAGAATGTAGACCAACCAAAAAACCCAAGAAGAATTAGGGTTTTCCCGCTGGCTAGGCAAGCTGCAGGAATTCCAACGGCCAAGAAGTTCTGTTTCGCGACAGGGCTCCAGAGAGCACGCTGCAAGAATCGTTTGTAGATATTCTTCTGGTAGTACGTCCCGGAGACAAAAGGCTCCATAACCACTTTGAGAGGGCGCAATGCGATCTCTGCCAGCTTCGCAAGGTGCAAGTAAGGGGATGGAGGCTCTGTTGCTTCGGGGTCGAAGAGCTTGCGACCAACCCAGGCGCCCACCCTCATCCAAGGTCGGAGCTGAACCTGGAAGGGACTATTCTTGAAAATGAGTAGGGTTTAGGGTTTAGTGTCAATCTGTGAAGCGAGTTCGCTGTTGCATGCTTCTCTCTGAACGGTCTGGAAAGCATGAGCTGAACAGTTTTATCCGAAGGCACATGAGTGGCACGAGTGCGGCTGAAACGGCCGAGTTTCTTTGAGGCGGGGCGCTCCCGCTTTTCTTCGTTTAAGATTGGTAGCGGAGCCTTATGCTCCAGTAGTTCCGCTAGGTTTTGCCATGTCGGACGTATGGACCACTTTCTTTCGTTCTTCCGGTAGCCCGGGCGATGTTCCGCCTCGTGGACCTAGTGATGATTCTGCACCGCGACATAGTGAGGGCGGTCCTGCCAATCGTGACGACGGAGGTGACGACCACGACCATCGTGATGTTCATGGTGGTGTCGGTGGTGATGACGAGCGAGCGAGCGAAGAGCCTATCGACCCTTGGGCTCAGGCAGCTTGGAGTGGAGGCCAGTCTGACGACTGGTGGGGACACTCTGGCTGGGCCGCGCATGGCCGTTGGAGTTCCTACGAGGAACCTCGTGACTCCTGGTGGGAGGAGTACTCATGGCCCCGACAGGATCGACGACAAAGCTATGGTGGCACGTGGGGCTCCACCTCAGCCGGTTCTGGTTCTCTTCAGGATTCCTCTGCGAAGGAGGCGGAGGGCTACGAAGGTGGGAATGAGGCCTGGCGTTTCCGAGGAGGCGCAGCTTTGCCCGGTGGGTGGCAACCCCAGAAGCTTGCCGGCGATCTACTAGGTGCGCCTCGTGGAGGAGACCTCGCTCGAGGTCCGTCGGAGAAGATGGTCGTTCCTTCTTTCAGTGGAGCGCTTGAGAATGGCTCCGAGGACATCGGGGCAAGCGCGAGATCTTACATGCGGCAAATCGCCGCCTGGCGGCGAATGACCAGGATCGACCCTTCGAGACAAGCCTTGACCCTCTACCAACACCTCACCGGAAAGGCCTGGATCGACGCCGAGAGGTTGGATGTCGATAAGCTTGCTGGTGGAGACGGGATGGAGTACTACCTGAGCTGGGTGACTGATCGTTACCTGGATGTTCGGGTCACTCAGATCGGGAGGTCGCTAGGCGACTTCTTCAGGCGACTTCGTCGCCGCCAAGGACAATCAGTGCGCGACTACATGAGTGACTACGATCGGGCCCTAGCCCGTCTGCAAGAGTGCGGATGCCACTTGCCGGATATTGCTGCAGCTTGGGTTTTCGTCGACCGTATGGCTTTGTCCGAAGAACAAGAATTGAACCTCCTTGCCTCGGTACAGAACGAGTACAATCTCAAGCGTCTTCAACAAGCAGCAATAGTCCAAGATCGCAACCTGAGGAAACCCTGGGAGCCACCCTCAGGCGGTGTCCGTGCTGATCGTGGGGGCGAATGGTGGGGCGCTCCCGAGGATGATGAGCAAGGAGATTGGCTACCTGGCGACGATCAATCAGAATGCGTGCCTGAGCAGATCGCCGAGGAGCTTTACGAGGCTTTCATGACGCATGAAGGTGCTAAACAAAAGTACAAGGAGATGAGCAAGCTCAGGGGAACCGATCCTGAAGGAATGCGTCAACTTGCAGCCGAGCGCCTCCAGCAAGCCAAGAACAAAAGCTTTTGTTCGGGATGTCGAAGGCGCGGCCATTGGCATCGTGATCCTGAATGTCCTCTTAATCAGCAGCGCAACGGATCAGCCAACACGAGACCCTCTGGATCCCCGACAGCACCTTCGGCCAAGGATGATGTCAATCCCAAGACTAGCTACGCTTGCCACTATGTGTATGTCACGCGGGACTTGGATCAAAAGCTTGCGCTCCCTAACCTCACGGCGATTACCGATACCGCCTGCTCCCGGTCCATCGCAGGGGTGCCTTGGATCGAGAAGTACATGGTGGAGGCCAAGAAGATCGGTTTTGTGCCTGAGACCGTTGAGTGTAAGGATGCCTTTAAGTTCGGAGCCAGCCGTATTTTCGATTCCTCCTATGCGGTTGTCATCAGCTTTGGGACCGGTGCTCACACCGTTCTGCTCCGGGTGGGAGTGGTGAACGGCGATGTGCCTCTGCTTGTGTCGAGGCCTGCCTTGTTGGGCATGGTGATGGATTTGGCCGAGAACACGGCATCGTTTCGGAAGCTTGGCGTCCAGGATCTTGCGCTTTTGTCTACGGACACAGGCCACCCAGCGCTTCCTGTGTTTCCGCAGACTGTTAGCAGCGCGGCCATCAAGAGCTGCGACTGGCGATCCCGTGAGCTGCTGACTGTCCCGAAGCCTCAGCAATACATGGCTTTCATGACTACTCATAATTCAGCCGATCCCGGTGATGATGGTGATAGTCGTGTTGGGGCTCCCCCTCTTCTCCCAGGTCTTTCACTTGTGAACTCCGAGATACCCGAAGTAGCCCAAGACCCCAAGGTGTTCTATCCGAAGAAGATCAGCATTGAAGCTTACAACATCCTCAATTCCGATAAGCTGAACCTTGCAAGCTTCCTGGCCTGGTGGAGCCAGACCCCCATCACCAACGACTTTTGGATAGAAGATGAGCTCCTTCTGCATCGTATCCATGTTACGCCTAGGAGAACATTCTTTGATCCTCGCGGTTGGAACACATCCAAGCTTGAACAGAAGTCTGCACTCCTTGATGCTCTGGGTTCTATGAGGTCCTCACAGGGTTTCGCTTGCAGTACACAGCGTGCTTTTCCGGAAGTACATGATCAATGGAAGGAGCCCGGAAGCAAGTCGTCTTTCCCGCTGTTATGGATCGGTAGAACTTCTTTCAGTAGAGCTGCCCGACAGTGTGTAAGACCTGCCCCGCTTGCTCTACATGGCCTCCCGTGCGAACCTTCTGACGGCTCCGGTGGTCACCAAGAAGAAGGGGTTATGGGAACTCCGGCACAACGAGCTCCTGGAGGAAGCCAAGGCCCGAGGACTCCTGATCCACAACAATTGGACGGTGCCCGAGATCCGTTCGATCATCCAGGAGGACATGAAGAAGAACACCTCGACATCTTCGAGTCCCGGGAGCTCCAGCGAGATCTACCCCCTGACCAAGATGACGATACCAGAGTTGGAGGCGGCCCTGGAAGCATCCGGGATGGCAGTGCCGGCAAAGGCGAACAAGGGCATGCTCATGAGACTCCTCAGGGACCAAGGTGGCCTTGGCCCTCAGACTATCCTGGGCTTCGGGCGCTTCCAAGGCTACATGTACCAGGAGACTCCGATGTCGTACCGCCGATGGGCAGTAAAGGAAGTTTCCGAGAACGACGGCGCCCAGGAGGACCTGAAGATGTACGCGACTTGGGCGGCGAAGGTCTTCGAGGTGACCGACGGCTACGCGACCAACTCCACTCCGGTGCCCTACAAGGATTCCGAGGAGGACGCCCTGGTGCCCTACAATCCGGAGTCTTTCGGCGGGAGCTCATGGGATCTTCTGACGACCGAGCGCACGGAGGTGCCCAAGAGCAAGGCAAAGGCAAAGGCGAGAGCATTGAGGGCGGAGAACACGGAGATGTCCCAGCGGGCTCGAGCGCAACGACACCCGGCCCCTTCACTGGTGTCTTCCTCGGCGAGCCAGATGGAGCACGAAGTGGACCCGGAGGTGATGGACGAGATCCAACATCTCCAATCGAGACTCGCTGTGCTTCAGGACCGCCACGGACTCCCTCCTTCGGGGTCCCACCAGTGAACATCGACCACGGCGGCAACACGGACAGCACCGCCCAAACCTACTACCAGCCCGATGAGCGAGTCAGCCCCGACGATCTTTCCAACTCGGGCGGTGCGAATGCTTATGAGGCCGGGAGGAACCGGCAGCATGGGGCAAGTTTTGTTCTATTACCCGATCGGACCACCAGCCATCTTGGCCAACCTCTTCGAGGTCTTTGCAATCCGAATTCACTATCTGCTCAAGCTACAGCCGGAGCACGTGATTGCGATCTAGGCGATCTACCAGACCAGACCACAGCTGAGGAATGTCATCGCAATCCCGGTGGACTACCAGACCAGACCACAGCTGGAGAACATCATCGCAATCCCGGTGATCTACCAGATCAGACCACAGTTGGAGAATGTCGTCGCAATCCCGGTGGACTACCAGACCAGACCACACCTGGAGAATGTCATCGCAATCCCGGTGATCTACCAGACCAGACCACAGCCGGAGAATGCCCTCGCAATCCCGGCGATCTACCAGACCAGACCACAGCTGGAGAACGTCGTTGCAATCCGGTGATCTACCAGACCAGACCACAGCTGGAGAATGTCATCGCAATCCCGGTGTTCTACCAGACCAGACCACAGCTGGAGAACGTCCTCGCAATCCCGGCGATCTACCAGACCAGACCACAGCGGGAGAATGTCGTCGCAATCCCGATGGACTACCAGACCGGACCACAGCCGGAGAATGTCCTCGCAATCCCGGTGATCTACCACACAAGGCTACAGCTGGAAAATGTCATCGCAAGCTTGATCCACTACCTGCTCAGACCACAGCTGGAGAATGTCATCGCAATTCCGGTGGACTACCAGACCTGAATGTTGGAGTACAACTTGGCGACCTTGCCAATGAGACTGTCGTGTCTACTCCGTTCGATCAGGTCGTTGACGAGATTTACTTGCAGGACAAAGTCGATGGAGGGCATCTTCCTAGCGATCACTACGGGAAGTCGCTCGAGGAGGCCGCCTACAGCCTGCTCAAAGCGAAGAGGTTCTCCCTAGAAGACCTACGTGATCTACTACCACTACTGCCTATCAAGGACTGCAGAAAGCTGCACGGGATCAGTGGAGGCCCTACAACCAAGGTCCAGAGCTTCCTTGGGGGACTTTGGAATCACGGCGGACTTCACGGCATCTCCAAGGACTCCTGCCGGTACCCAAGTTCGTCAGCTACGTGAACGAGGTGATGAAGCGGCAGGGTTCGAGCAAGGAGCTTGGATGGTCGTCGTTTATCATTACGAAGAATGTAGCCACCTCCATT